GTTAGCTACCTAACTACTATTTATCCCTTAGGAATGTAACTGAAGCATAAATATTTTTTATGTTTGCACAGCTTGACTGGGGCAAAGGAAAGATTTCCTTTTCCTCCAAAAAACCCAGAAAGACAAAACTGCAAAAGGAAAAAGCAATTTCCCTGAAAATTTTATGGCAGCAGGTAATGATATATTAACAACCAATTTTCTAATTAAGAAGCACACAATTTTTTTTGTCCTTCATTGTAATTTTAACTCTTTGAATACAGAGACACCTATAACTATGAACAGGTTTATAATTAATTGTGCATGAGATTAAAATGGTAATATGATAGCTGAAGCTTTTCTATACAACAATCTAGAAAATAAGGGTTTGTGTCTATGGGAAGGGACACCTTCCACTAGACCAGGCTGCTCAGATCTCCATCCAACCTGGCCCTGAACACTTCCAGAGATGGGGCATCCACAGATTTTCTGTCAAACCTGCTCCAGTGCTCCATCGACTTCTGAATAAAAAGTTTTTCCTATCATGTCTCCTCTTTTGTTTTAAAACTCTTCTCCCTTGTTTATCCCTTACCTTATTTGCTTGTGTAAAAATGTCTCCCTCTTTTTTATAAGCCACTTTCAGTAGGCTGAAAGAGGTCAAATGCTGCAATCAGGTCTCCCCCAAAGCCTTCTCCAGAGGGAATAGCCCAGATGTTGGTTGTTGCTGTCGAGGCAGGACGGGAATGAGAAGACTGGCCAGAAGGCTTCAAGAGAGTGAAACTCTGATTTATTTAAAATACACTGCTCTTTTATACAGAGCTTCCTGAGGATCAACTCCATTGGTTCTGAAGTGAAAACAACCCACAGCATTGGTGCAAAGTGCTTGACACACAGTGATAGAACTTAACTATAAACAATGTCAAAAACAAGAGAGATAAAGAATTATTTATATTCTTCAGCTCTTTCCCAGGTTTTTTGCTTGGCTAGAAAGTCTCAGTTTCTTTCTTTGACTGAATCTGAGTCCCACAGTTGGTCACTCACAGATCTCATAATCTGTCTTTATAGGAAAGGTGCTCCATCTCTCTGATCATCTTCATGGCCCACCTTTGGACTTGCTCTAGAATGGTAAGATGGTCCACATCTCTTTTGTGCTGGAGACCCTGGAATTGGATGCAGCACTCCAATTGGGATCTCAGGAAGGCAGAGTAGAGAGGGAGAATCTCCTTCCACACCTGCTGGTCCCACCTCTTTTGATGCAGCCCAGGATTCACTTGGCTTTCTGGAATACTGGCACACATTGCTGTATGCTGTTCAGCTTTGCTTCTATGAGAACTTCCAAATCCTTCTCTGCAGGCTGCTCTCAGTGAGTTCTCTCATGTCTGGGATTGCCCTGACACAAGTCCAGCACCTGGCACTTGTTCTTGTGGAATTTCATGAGGTTATCAGGGGTCAGTTTCTCAAGCTTGTCCAGGAATCCCATCCTTCTATGGTGTCATCTGCACCACTCAGCTTTGTGTCATCTGCAAACTTGCTGAGGCTGCACTCAATGCCACTGTCTCTGGTGTTGATAAAGGTATTGAAAGGCTGCCTGCACCAGCACACAGAGCCACTGGAGAAAACTCTCTGGCTGTGTCTATCCAGCTAATTTTTTATCCAAATAATCCACCCTTTAAAGCCATGTCTCTCGAATTTGGAGATAAGGATATCATGGTGGACAATGTTGAAGAAGTCACAGAAATCACAGAAGTCACAGAAGTCTGGGTAGGTGATATCAGTTTGTTTTCTGCTGATCATTGCAGACACTTCCTCACAGATTGGTTGAGAAACAATTTGTCCCTAATAGAACCGTGCTGTCTGTGTTGGATCACCTCTGTAATGTTTGTCTAGATAGGAATAGGATAATCTAAATCTTTATGCACAAAAGAGAGAGAGCTTACATTTCAGACTGAAATTCCTCTTCTTTCCACAGACATTTACTCCTGTGTGATATAGGTGAGATTACTTCTAACAAGTTAGAAAATTTGGCTAATTTTACAGGAGCAAACCTGAGAGATAGTAATGAATATTGCTGCTGGATTCTTACAGACTTTTGAGTAATAAGAGAAAAATGTGAGCCATTTATCCAATAACTGCAACAAATATTATGAGTTTAATCTTCTATATTTTTAAAGAGCAATGTAATGTGCTCAGCAGATCTTTTTTTAAAATGCTTTAATATTAAACTTTTTGCAATTACACAAGGCTGTTTTTCAAGTGTTCTTCTGAAGTGAGACAATTCCTCTTCACTTTGCTTTACCCACCTTTCATTGGCTGGAGAATGACTGCATGCAGATGGATTCATCAGCTTTTCACAGCATGTACACATTTCATTTCCACCAGTACTTCACTAAATAACTGAAAGTGATGATAAATTAGAAATCTTGTGCCTACAAATCCATTTCCTTGTAAAATCTTACAGTCAGAATACTTGCTAAAAATACTAATGAGTGACCACATGATTTTTGCCCAGAATAAGGGTTTTAAGTATAAGTATACAGCATATGTACAATATAGTATGACATATAGTATATATTTATAACATAAGTGGTATCCCTGTTGAATTTGGTTTGCTGAGAAAACAATTATATTATTTAAAGAACTAGAAATAGCATGGCTCTTTCCTTCTAATTATTTGAGAAAATATTAAAATGTGTATCCTCAAGTTTTGAGGAAAGAGGCATCAGGATATTTTAAATGTGTATGAAATTATGCATATGCAGATAGATACTTACACAGTTACATGACAAACTGTTGCAGGTATCAAAGTCACAAGTTTTACTGATAAGAACAATCTGCTATCTTAGGGTGACCAGTGCTTTTATTTCAGTGCACTTGAAAAGATTTTTCAGCATTTTACTGCTACATAATTATTGAATTAAGTGTTGTATATCCTTACATTATATAGGTAGGGATGGTGCTGATATTCTAAAATGGATATTTACCTTCAAAATCCTCTTTAAAATGACAAGATGTGACAATAAACAACCTAACCTGAAGCATATATTTTATTTTTCAGTTTGTAGAGAAGTCCTGAAATTACCGGAGATATTTAGCAAAAGCTTTCCAAGGGAATGATGGTAAGTTGTGAAAGCTTATCCCACTAATAAAATTAAATTAAAAAGGAGTAATTTGCTTAGATTTTTTTTTTTTTTAAAGGAACTTGTCATGTCATAATGTTCACTAACTTTGCTTCAGAGAGACATCATAGCTCATTAACCAAGTGACTGAAGGCTGACTCATGAGATCTGTAATTGAGTTGATCACATTGTTCCTGGATGACCTCAGGCAGCCACTGCACCTCTCCACACCTTATGTACTGTACACCACACAGTGGAACAGGCAAACACCCTTGAGTCAGCATCCAAGAACCTCTCTTGGCTCAGCTGCTTTGTGACACTTTTCCTGGGTGATGTTTACACAATGCAAAGATCCCTTTCCCATGACAGCATCTCTTCCTGAAGGAAGCTTGCCTGGACTCTGACAGCAGTAGGATTGTGATATGGCTCCCTCTCTACGCCCAATCTTTGAGGATCAGCCTCCAAAAAAAAAAAAGGGAAAGCACAGTCATGTCTGAGCCAGAACTCCCCCATTTGGAGTGAGCAGATGCAGTGGGAGACCTAACCAAGAGTTATTATTAATGGCATCAGTAATTCCAGAGGGGCCAATACAAAAAGCAGGTGAAAGTAGTGATGTGCATCAGTGGTTGTGTTTTGCTGTCTTCTGGTGTACAGCCTTCTTGTGCTTTTGGAAAACAGAATCATAAAATCATAGTATTATTAAGTTTGGAAAAACCTCCAGGATTATAAAATGCAACCTTTGAGCAATCTCTCCCTTGTGAACCAGACCATGGCAAAATCCAGTTGGAGTGCCACATCCAATCATTTCTTGAACACTTTCAGTGATGGTAATTCCATCATTTGCCTAGGCAGCCTATTTCAATGCTAGGTAACTCTTTCAGTGAAGAAACTCTTCCCAAATAGATAGACCTTCTCTATTGTGAAGGTCTAGGTGCTACAGTGTGAAATACGTTGTTCAACATAAATAATTTTTCAGCAATTGAATACTAAGATCATGCTCAAAATCTGTTTTAGAATAAAACTGGTGTGAACTCAAAGATAGCTTGAGTGGGAGGGAATTCAGCTCACTGAAGGTCAAATATCTTCAGCTATCTGCATCCCAATCTATGGTTCCCTTTATATTATGTTTCAGTTTTCTTTTGTTTGTTGTGATTACTTGTCACTGCAGACCTTAAAGGTGGATAGTTTCATACTAAATTCCTGCAATTTCTAATGTCAGTTCCCTGAACATGAGTGTTGTGCTCTATCCCATCAGTGTGAACGCTCTTTTTGTTCACAAAAATTTTCTTGATTGAAAGTACATGAAACTGTAGCTCAAGATATAATTTAGGGCTTTTGAGAATTAAAACAATAAATGACAATTGAAGAATGTCAGTTTTTTATCCAGATCTTTCACAAACCAAATCATTTCAGTTAAAGATAAGTCCTCTCTTTTTAAAAGCTAAAAGTATAAATTTAGTGTAAGAGGGAGTTTAGAGGATACACAGAGTGCAGATACAGCAGCTATGGTAGAAGACTGAGTAAGATGTACATGAATGTACATAATATGTATGAGCTTCTCTGCATGGTAAAAATGCCAAACAAACAGAAATCATAAACCAAAGTGATAATTTTTATTACATTCATCCTAACATTTTTCTAAAAGCTTTCAATTGCAAAAGCAACCCCCACTGCATTCATTTCAACTACTCCCAGCTTTTTTTTAAAGAACACAGTAATTAAGAAGAAGCCAACAAAAGTGAAGATACCCAAGTGGATAAAAATTGGTTTGTAATACATTGAAATATGTTTCCCAATTATATTTTGCTGCAGTCTTCCCTGTGTGGGTTTTTTGGTTGTTTGGATTTGTGGTTTTTTTGGTTTTTTTTTTTTTTTTTTGGTTTTTTGGTTTTTTTTTTTTTTTTTTTTTTTTCCAGGGTCTGAATCTTCTGGATATATTAAAATCCAAGGTAAGAATCCACAGCTTTTTATATTCCTCTTTGTTCTTCTAATATCATAAAAACTTGTAAATCCAAATGAACATTAAGGAGACAGATTGATAATATAATTAATTATACACAAAGCTGCAATTAAGTTAGACTAACTGTGTTGAGATGTAAATTATGTCATAAGGGTGCCCATGGGAGCTCTGCAAACACATAGAGCAGAATAATTTGATCTTTGGATTAGAAGTATTTTATCTCTGTGTTTATGTGTATTTAAACATATTTTACATGAAGAACACTATTACTTCAATCTTAGGTGGTTTTCTGGTAGAAAAATATTTCTTGCCCAAGATATTTTCCACTACATTATTTAAAGATTATTGACTGACTGTGGTGGGCTGACCCTGGCTGAATGCCAGAAGCACACAAAAATTCAGTCTATCAGCCCCTCATCAGCTGTGCAGGGCAGAAAAAAACATGCATCAAAAAACCCATGTGTCAAGATAAGGTCAGGAAAAGATCATTCAGCAATTAATTAATTAAGATGGGAGGCAGATGACCTGTAATAAAATACTGTATATATTCAAGCTTTAGACAATGAGGCTTATTTTTTATACTAAGTGAAATCAAGATTTATCTACAGAGAAATAGAAAATATGCACCCAAAAGCATAGCAAATATTGAAGAGGAGATAAAAGCAATATTTGTCTTTAAGTACAATATTAAATATTTATGATCAGTAGGCATCTACTGTATAAAATTCTCTTTCATATGTATGATTATTTACCTAAAATACAATAGATGCAAAAATCAGAATTAGAATTATTTCTCAAAAGAATGATTAGTATATTTAGTTGGAATGATTGAATCATAAAATAGTCTGGGTTAGATAGGATTTTAAAGATCACCTTGTTCCAACACTGTCATGGGCAAGGACACTTTCCACTAGACCAGGTTGTTCAGGACCCCATCCAACCTGGCTTGAAACAAAATTCAGTCTGATGGATTGATGGAACAAAAAGCACACATTCATAAAACCATCTTTCTGAATCAAGTAGGAATGGATAATTTGGTATGGAAAAAAAAAAAAACAAACACAGAAAGAGTGGAAACATTCACACTCTTCACTGCAAATTAAAGTCATGTTTTGCCAGAGATCAGAAAGAGAGAAACTGAAGAACAAAGGGTCCAATTTAGATTCTGAAACCAGAAAAACAAATCAGAATATACTGTTGAAGTCAAAATAAAAAAAACCCTAAATTTATTTTGAATATTGTTTTTCCTCTGGAGACTGATACAATTCTGAATAAAAAATGTATTTTTCAAATGAAAAATATAGTCATTTTTTCTTTAATAAATCTCAAATCAATGTGAGAAATTTTGTGGGAAAAAAAATCAAAACACATCTGTTCCAAACCCTGAATTGCAAAAAAGAAAAATGAAAAATAATATTTGCATCTATTGATGAACATTTAAATGAAAAATTCTGACAAAATTTCAAAAGTTTGAAAAATCATTGAAAATTCATCAAACCCACCCTTATGTATGTTTCTAGAAATCATCATTTTCAAAGAAAATTTTTTCCCTTTCATAGCTTTCTATTGGTAAGTCCTAGTGCAAGAAACCCAGGAATTGTGATTTTACAAAGGGTCTAACATTACTGGACTTCAGTCCTCTCTCATCTGGCTTCTAGACACTGAGGGAGTACAGAGGTACACAGAATAATTTTAGCATGCTAGTTCTCAGAATTATTTAAAGAAGTAAATATAAAGAAAATATTTAATTTCATGTACACAAGAGGTGGCTCGAGTTCTGCTTTTAAGTACACTTTTTGAAACAGAAGCAATTTCTCTCATTGGTTGTTTCATGGTAGTCTTGACCAGTATTTCAGGTTTGACAAAAAAGGCAGCCCAATGTATTGCCTGCAATGCGTATTAAATAGAATTGAAAGCAAAACCAGTAGCAAAAAAACCCTCAAAATTTTAAGACACAAACACAGTAAATCCCCTATCCAAGTGGATGGAATAATTTAGATTAAAAAAAATGAAAACTAGTGGAGAGATTGGAGAAGAAAGAAAAAATGCAGAATATTTTTTTACTGTGGTCAAAAAGAGACTGCAGAGGATTATAATTTAATAACTTGTGTATCTCATGCTTAAATATTCCTTCAGACTACCCTGTGTATACCTTCTCCTACAAAAGAAAAATAACAAGCAGTTGTTTCAGATTTATTTTAGTCTCACAAGGATTGCTGTCTCAACACTGCAAAAATTTTGAGGAGCTCTAAATAATAATCAAGATACAAGGTACAAGAAGCATCACAATAACTGACAAAAGGAAATAGGGTGCTGCAAATATCAAATACTGAAGAAATGCATGAGGTGACCCAAATATGCCAGCAAAGGCTTCCATGCTAGTCTTTCAAGAAGTGATAATTTTACACACGATGCATTTAACAGATATTCACAAAGTAACTGTGAAATTGTACAGCCAGCGTTACATTGCCAACAACTTCCTCCTTTGGAAAGTAAGCTGTGGCAGGTGACATCCATATTTACTTTTTCTAAACTTATTTTTATCACCAGAACAGACATGTCATCTCACTTGGAAGAAGAGCTAGAAAAATTTCTCAAAAAAACAACTATTATTTCTACAATTCCTGAGCACTAATGATAGAGCATAAACACTATTTTCTTCCAATGGCATGGAACATGGCTTATCCAGCAGGCTCTACAGTCCATTTTTACAGTTTTCTTTAGGAGATCTCTAAGAAGGGGGAGAGATGACACATGCTTAAAAAATTTCATAAACTTTCTACCCAATTAAAAAAGTTGTGTAAGACTTAAAGCCCAAATATTTCTGCAGCATGAATTACAAATGACTGAGTTTCTGTAAGAATTTCCTGGGATGTTTTCGGGTACAGGTAATCCAGAAGCTGGAGATGCTTTCCCAGACTGTATAAAAAAGCATTTTGGATATTGTTTCCTGGACTGCAGCATGCCAAAATAATATTGCTCAAAGAGTGAAATTGTTCATGGCAGAAATAGAAGATACCACCCAAGAGCAAAGGTGACATGTTCCTGGCAGTGTTCAAGGCCAGGTTGGATGGGGTTTTGAGCAACCTGGTCTAGTGGAAGGTGGCCCTGCCCATGGCAGGTGGGTTGCAGATGCTCTTTGATGTCCCTTCTGACTGAAACCATTCCATGATTAGATGATTCTATGAAAAATTAATGCTCATAAACAGAAATGTCCTTGGGACACAACATTCATCTGTTCATTGAGAAAAGGCAAAGTCCAATACTGTTGTTTTGCTGTTTGTTCAATTGTAAATATTTTCTAGTTATTCAACAAGACCATCTCCATGTGGAAGTTCTCTTGTTATTTACAGGTGGAAGCATTACGATTCTGTAAGTTGCATAGTCTCCAATTAAAAATACAAAAGCTCAAGCAGATAAAAAAAGAACTTATACTTAAGCTGTTTATCTGAGCAGGAACCACCAAATTATCAGGAGGATTTGATGTGTACTGTCAAATCTGGAACTGCTTAAACTCTGTGACTACATAACTTTATTAGTCATTACTTCATTATTAGAAAAATAAAGTAAAAATAATAAATTTTTAAAAAATGGGGAGACAGAGCTAATGATATATCTATTAAAAATAGAATTTTTGATCAGAAAAAAATAATATTACAGAAAAAAAAATGTGCTATGTGGTAATATAAAGCACTCAGTCAACTATCAAAAGAAACATTGGAAAACTAAATATATAATCTTTTAAAAACAGAGAAGAAAAATTAATGGTGATGTCTTTAGAAGCAAGGCTTACTGACTTAGGTTTGAAAAATTTATAGCTAAATTAAACCTGTAGACAAACTGATTTTTAAAAATGTATTAATCTTTTAATCAGATTTACATAATGTTAAGCTATTCTTTGATATAGTTTCAAAACCAGGTCACTTACTTCTGTGGCGAGAAAAGGTAAAGGAAGGTGATTTAAACTTTCTGGGTAAGATTCATTGGCTCAAACCTTTCTGTACTTCAGTGAGGTACAGGCAAAAATCTTGACCTCTAAGACAATGAATTTTATGGAGTTCTACAATTTTAAAAAACAATCTACACTAAAAATAAAAAGCAATGTCTAGGAGATTATTTCTAAGAAGTATTAATATTTCCTTTTGAAGTGAAACTGTAGAACTAGTGAACATAAAAACATTGACCTGAAATTAAAAATGTTTGAAGATCATGGAATCATAGAGGTTTGGATTGGAAGGGACCTTAAACAGCCAACTCCTGCTGTGGGCAAGAGCACCTTCCACTATCCCAGGATGCTCAGAGCCCCATCCAACCTGGTCTTGAACACTTCCAGGCATGGCACAGCCACAGCTTCCCTGGAAACCTGTGCCAGTTCCTCAGTGGCCTCACAGGGAAGAATTAATTTCTAATATCTAATCTAAACCAACTCTCTTTCAGTTTGATACATATCAACTTTGCATAAGAAAATACAAGATATTGCAAAGAAAGTATGAAATAACCATTTTTTGTCTTTCAATGTTTTAATTAGACATATTTTTGTTTATAGGTATTACACTCCACCTCTTCACCTATTTTTATGTACTTCAAGAATTTCAAGCCTTTTCTGGTTTTGGAGGTGAAGGTTTCACTTAATATCATTACTGTCAAAAACTGTATCAGGCACATGCTTAGAGAAATGCTTAGGAGTGGCATGAAAGAAAAATACTGTCTTCATATATGACTATAAAGTTTACATACATGTTTTCTAAATTAGACAGTATTTGAAATGTCTCAACACTATCTATCAGTAATATTTATAAAATAATAACAAATATGGCAAAAAATCCACCCTGTAATTACCTGATTGGATAGACTGTAATAGGTACTTTAATGACATTATAAAAGACATTATACACATGTTAATACTCACAAATCTAAGCTTGTGGCAAGTCTATCATTTGTACACTGTAACAACAAATTCATGCTTAGAAGATTTAAGCATGAAAATTGAACTGTCCTCATATATGTATTATTAAAAACTAAATATAAAGATGTGTTCTCAGCCACATTGAAATATAGAAATTCTTCTGACACAATGATATATGAAGTTAGTTTCTAGATGAAAAAATATGGAATGAGGATTGTTTTTAGGAGCACAGTAATTATGTTTTTTTCTTACTATACACTTCTGGTTTCAATAAACTAATATTCAAAAACACCTTGGTTACGTATTTTGGGGTGAAAAACTTAAAGGATTCATATAAGAGCTCTTACATCACACCATCTTTGATAGAAAGTAACACATTTATTAAACCAAGAAAATTGAAATTACTATAGTAATGAAACTGTAATAATTGTGAATTCTCCCTCTATATCAATATGTACTATGATTAGAAGGAGCTCTAAAACACGATAAATCAGATGAAACTGAAATTAAAGACAGGTTAAGTAATATTTAAATAATTTATAAGATTTATTATTAATTGCTTTTTATCTTGAAGACAATAAAAATATTAATTATAGGGGTGTTAATCAATAAATGAAATATTACTATGCATTTTTAGCAATTTATATATCCACATTCTTCACGTTCTGCCAGAAAAAAAAAATGAGTAACATGCAGAGTAACATCCAAAGTAGTAACATATTTATAGCACATCAAAACTTTTCTGGATAAAATTGTGCATTCTCAGAGGTATCATTTCATGGTGTCCTTATCACACAAAGCCAAAATATACTCACTACTATGTGTTTAAATATATTCCAATCCCCCAAATGCACACATTTTAAGGTTTATTGCCCATTGTAAAAAAACTTGAAAAAAACAAAAAACACTCTTTTTTCTCAAAGGCAGCTCATTCCTATTTTCATACTCTTTTTTCCAACCCCAAATGTTCTTATTATCCCCCTCAGGAAACCAGTCCCTTTCTTTGTCCACAGAATGCAGCCTTAAACGTATAGATAAAAATATCAGGCATACATAACATAATTCATAATGTAAAATATAAAAAATCATAGATGCTTTTATGTTCAGAGAAAAGTGATTATCTCCTTTCAGCAGGAAAACTTACTATGTGTCTCTTAAATCAAGGCACAATTATAATTCTGATTTAGTTCTGATGGTGTTTAAATATCCAGATATCTCTTTAAACAGAAAAACAAAATGGGGGAAAAGCACCAAACAAAACAAGCAAGCAATCAAAAAACAAAATAAATACAGGAAACAAAGAAACAAAAAAAAAAATCCCAAACCTACCCATCAAATCAACAACAACCCTGACAAAGTTTCATTAGAAAATCTTTCTTGTCAGAAAGGGAAGCCACTTCATCTCATGTTGCATATTGACTGCAGTTGCTGAAATTAGAAGTCACTTTTGAAGACCTGGATCAGGTCAAACAGGAAGCACACAAGTATTTAAAGATTTCAAATGCAATACCCTACACTTCTGTCCCATGCCAATTAATTTCTACAGAGAGCACAAAGAATCACTTGCAGATGAAAATTCCTGTATCTAAAGGTTTAGGATCTGGTTTTGTTGTGTTTGTTGTGCCCACATGTTCTCTTACTCAAAGAAACTGATTTTTGTCTGACTTCATCATACCATCTGACGTGAGTAACAAATGAAACATATCCAAGGAATTCAACCATTGTTGGGGAAGATGAAACAGGAAAGACTTATAAATATGATTGCCTGGCAAAAGATTTTGAGAATATGGAAACTATAAGCGAGATTGAAATGAAAGCAAGCTTTGAGATACCAAGCCGTAGTTACTGAACTGGAAAACAACAGTTGAAGGTAATCCCCTTTTGATTAAAGAATACCCTCTGCTTGCAGAGAGGTCCAAGGGTCAGAGCAGACCCTACTAGTTTGGCAGAAGGGGTCCAAAGAGTAGTTTTTATGGTTTAAAACGTAACACAGTATAGTAATGTAATGATTCTTATAGGACGTATGTAAATGCTATAGGATTTGTATCTTGTACTAAATTGCTAAGTGAAAATTAGAATATTCAGCACAGAAGAAGATTTATTGTATTGTAACAGGAACTTCTGTCTCTTACTCTTGCTCTCTTAGTCTCTTGCTCTTGCCTCTCTTGCCTCTCCCTTGCTCTTTTGGGCCTGCTCAGAGCTGGGGCTGGCGTCCAAACAGGGCCCTGCACCCAGCCCTTTGCAATAAATCATAATGATAGTAAAAGGGTTTTAAAATCATGGGGATTTAGGGTTAAAAGGAAAATTAAGCTTAGTAGGCCCTGAAAAGAAAAATAAATACCCTAAGTACACGAAGACCTTGTACCTTGCTAGCACTGCACCTGTGTAGCTAATACATGATAAATGATATAATTGTTAGATGTGATGATTGTTTAGTAATTAAATATAATTACTGTTTAATCATAAGAATAATCATGAGAAACTGTGGTCAGGGGCCTAAGAAAGATTAAGAGAAACTCATGTATACAATAGAACAATGTAAGTTTAATAATTAATATATAAATTATATAATGATAGAATATAAAATACGTTCAGCTCGAAAGCCATGTTGGAGTCAGATTTGGGTCTGTACCTCTGATTCCCAGAGCTCTTCAATAAAAGCACCTGCAGATAATCATATCCTGTGATTCTGTGTGTTCCTGAATGCTGACAATAAGTTCCAAGACCTGGCTTCAGACGTCTCCCGTCTCCGTCCATCCCGACCCTCCTACCAACCAACGCTCCAACAAACCATAAATCCAGGAGAGCTTTTATTTAGCTATCAATTCTTTGCTTTCATTACGTTCATATAAAAATGGTGATAGCGATTAAAAATTAAGAGGTAAGGAAATAAGGTTAGCAATAAATTAATTCAGGGACCCAAATGCAGTGCAAATTGCTCTCTGTTTGTTTGGTTTTAAAGTGTGGGGGTTTTATTTCTTCTGTTCTCAGATGAGGAAAATGACATGAAAACAAGTGCAAAAAAATGTTTCAGCAAACAGAGACAATAAAGTACCATTGGAAATCAATTAAGATGTCTAGTTACTTGCAAGACAATTTTTGCTGCGTGATAGACTTCTAAGTTTATTCCAATATATTGAAATCTATAAAAGATGTCATATTACTTTGGCTTCATAATTTCTTCATCTGTCCCAATATTCTTAAACTTCTTTCCATCAAAGAGAATATTCAAAGTTTTCTGTGACTTGTGTGTTTTTTCCTCTTATATATTGTCAGAATTGTGAGGAAATATGTGATGAGAATAGAAAAACTGCTTATTATTCAGGTCTTATAACAAGACTTGTAAGAACTTACAGAGAAAAACATTTCTGTCATCTAATTTCTTTCAGAAATAATAATACTAAGAACAGAAAAACACTCCATATCTGAAATGAGAATGGAATATGATTGAAAAGCAATCTATTTTAATGTAAACAAGAGGTAGAAGTGAGATTATCTAGTTTTTTTTTTTTTGTTTTTTTTTTCTGTTTAAGAGCTAGACTTGTGGTCAAAACTAGTCATTAGATTAACTTTCTAGGGTAGCAACCTACTATAGGTGGAGCAAAATATCCTCTGCAGATACTCTGCAGATACCCTCCTAAACACAGAAGCTTGGATGACTAGGTGCAAACTTGTAGTGAAAGTGAGAGGAGGTGACATTACCACATCAAAGTCTTTAGAGTAATTAATTTGGACAGTGGAAATTCATGGTATCTCTCCTATGGGTTTGGTCATCTTGTTACCATGTGAAGTTTTTACTTATGAAAATGTGAAGTGTTCTCTGATGTTATTTACAAGAACCACATAATTTAGTTACTTTGGAAGAAAAATTTTAGAAAAGGACAGCATTTTAGAGAGAGATGACCCCACAGTAATTACTTTCTACGGCATTTTTAGTAACTATACATGTTAAGTACAAATTAAATCAAGCTTTACAAGAACCCAGGTATTCAAGTGTACTATTGCAAATAGAATTGAAAGTCCTGAGACATTTTCCAGAAGCTGTCTGAAGGAATAGCTATAGAGTTACCAGGACATTACATATCACTTGATATCTAAAGATAGGCTTCTGCTTTTCCAAACTGATGAAGAAATTAGTGCATCATTCACTGCACTCATGTGTGGTAGCAAAATTAAGGCCTGCCTTTGTATGTGGCACAATCAAAAATTGAACCTCTAAAAGAGTTCATTAAACTTTTCTTAAGGGTTTTTCTTAAGCATAACAGGTAACAGCGTAACAAATCAGTGATTTTTTTCCAAAATTTTACACAAATTTTAAAAAGTATGCTGGATTTAGGGGAGGTAACTTAATTGAAGGAATAGCTGAAAAGATTCATGCTTCCAAAAATGCATCACCATAACTATTAAGTTCTGGGATAGACAACTGAGTATAAAGTTTTATGGAAGAGGCAGAGTGAAATGAAAATGCATTTCTAATCTCCTTCTATCAGATAGTTTTGATCCTTTCTGCAGACATCTGAAAACAAGCAATGTCTGGGATTATTCCCAGTTGCAATCATAAACACAACTTTAAATACTTCTACGACAGCCTTCTTGACTGGCCACCTGGAAACAACAACATGACTTTTAAAATCTTAGTTTAATGCATGAAACTTTAAGAAAGGAAAAGTCAAATTACTATGACAAAATATTGAGTACTCCTTCATATC